GCTAATGGGAGCCTTTGCAACTGTTGGGCGGGAGGTTGATCATTTGTCAGGGGGCTGAGGTAAAAGCTCAGTTCGGGCAGATTTTCAACAGTGACTAGAGGAGTCTCTCTGTGGGCCCAGGCAGGAGAGAGCAGCTGGGTCCTGCACATGACCTGCTAATGGAAACAGCTGCCTTTACGCCAAACTCCTAGAGAAGAAGGAGAAGACTTGCCTTTCTGCGCATCTCCTGTCATCCAGCTGCTCAATGGCGGATAGCTTGAGCATTGGCCTGCTAAACCCAGGGTTGTGAGTTCAATCCTTGAGGGGGCCACTTAGGGAGCTGGGGCAAAAATCTGTCTGGGGATTGGTCCTGCTTTGAGCAGGGGGTTGGACTAGATGACCTCCTGAGGTCCCTTCCAACCCTGAGATTCTATGAATGGAAAGGGGAGCTGTGAGCAATGGCGGAATGGTTTGTACAATCTTCTGACAGGTGGGTACCTGCTCATGCTCTGAACTCTATCAGTGTTCTTAGTCATTCAATGGGACATGCAGTCCCTGGCAAGCAACAGGCTATTCTACCCTACTGTAGGGTACATGTTCTCTGTATGATACTTTCTTATATTGCTCCTGCCATTTCATGGGCAAAGCCCTGATGTTCTCCACCTTCATCATCAGTGCATGGTAGGTGACTTTCTGACCTACAGATACTTGCTTCCCTTTTCCTCCATCTTTCCTTCCCCTCTGTGGTGGCTTTCCAGGTCACTTCTTTCCATCCAGCAACACCCACTACCAGTAAGCACAAACATCAGAGAGCTGCCCGGTACATAAAGGGAAGGACTGACTTCTTAGCCGTCATGGTAATTTCTCCCCTAGAGAGATTTCTCTGCAGTCACCAGTGGGCATGGGATATAGAAGCATCCGAGGAGCAGGTGGTGATGTTATCCTGTCTGTGCAGTGTAACTACTGCACCCAAGGGAGGCTCAGAAAGAGACAGGCTTCCATCATTAACTCGGACGTCACTTGCTTTGGGTTTAAATCAGCCCCTTCTAAGGCTACACTGAAGTTGAGATGGTCCTAGAATCCCCCAGCTCCATTTCAGCCTCCCATGCCCTCAGTCTTCTGCCAGGGAGACAAAGGTCTGAGCCCCTCGGACGGATGGTGCTGTAGCAGTGCAAACGCCATGATGGGAATCACGTCAGGCTAAAACCTTACCTGCGGTCTGGCTCCTCATTGGTTTAGTGCCAGGCTTGCTATGCCCGCTGGGACAGTAACAACGGGCTCTGCACATCAGGGTGGCTCGTTCCCCCAGGACTGCCGTACATCTTGACATTAAAAGGGTACTGACCTGGGCATCAATAATCTTCTGTTTGGAATCCACTGCCGCCTGCATTTCCGCGTGATCTTTCTTTAATTCCTCCTCGACCGACATCAATCTGGCATGAGAACACAGAAGCAAACACTTAGCTTCCGAGAAGCAGAGAGTCTGGCTGCTGTTATTAAACAGTGCTTCGTGCTGCTGCAAGCAGCTCGCCGGAGAGACCGAAAGCACCTCTCTGTGACCAGAACAAGTAGCGCAGGGGCAGCAGCAGTAACCTCTTCCCTCCCACTGCCAGCCTGCCCTGGCCCTGCCCAGGACAGACTGGCCAGTTCCAGCTCCTTGGCCACTCTTGCCGAGACTGCCGGCTGCGTGGTGGGTTTTGTGATAGGGACACCTGCCTACTAGACACTATGCTCACAGCTACCGATGCCAATGACTCTGGCTTACCCCTGCTCACAGCAGGTTAGCTGTGAGTGCTGGCCTGGAGCAGAAAGGCACTAGACACCCTGTTAGAAAGCCATGGAGCCCTCCAGGCCCGCACTCAAAGTTCCCCCCTTCATGCTCCTTCATCCCCATTTCAGTTCTTCAACTCACAGCCTGGGTCAGCCCTGCACAGCTGCCAGCTCTCTGGTGACCCAGGAGGCTGCCCCAGCAGTGGGGTGAGGTTGCTCTGATCACCTGTTTGCGGGATCCACCAGCCTGAAAGGCAATGCCCCGCTGTAGAGAGCGTCCAGGTGCAGGAGTCCATTAATTACATGTGCTAGGATCTATACTGGCTCTGTCACATCCAGCCACCATGCCATTAGTCTGGTAGACATTTAAATCAGCCTCCCAGGATGAATGATACAGATTATTTCTTCCCTTACTCCTTGACAGCAGAGGAGGCGAAGGGCTGATTTACCTCTCGAGAGCTCAGAGCGAGGGGTGAAGTAGCAGGCCAAACCAATGGGAAGCTCTCACGTTGTAACCCCGCCTTCAGGGAGCACAAAAAACTAAGTTTTTTCATGTGCCATTGCAGGCATTAGCCCACACAGCACCCCTGGTTCAGGGAATGTGGAATTTCCGCAGTGAAGGTCAGAATAGGGCTGGGGCCATGAAAAAATGCTGGCCCTGAGAGGCTTGTTGGTTAAAAAACAAACCAACCAAAACTCTCTGCTCCGATAGTTCAAAACCTGCTGTTTTCTGTCTGACTGTTAAACTACTCTAGACACGAGCAAACAAAGGATGGGGTGGGGTGGGGGGGGAGCTTTAGAGCAGCTGATTTAGGAGAGCAGCTTAAAAGAACTGAATGGGTCTAGCTTGGCTAAAGATGGTGACATTGGGCCATATCAGCCTATATGTACGTAAACACCACAGGGGCAGAGGGTTAGCTGGGATGCCAGCTAGGAGTAATGAGATGGAAAGGAACACTCAGACCTTCCTGACCGTGAGAGATGTCTGCTGGAGGCATAATCTCCCAAGAGGAGAGGCAGAAAACCCATTGCTCGGGGTACAGAAAACTGAGTGGGAAAATCCTACCCTGAGCGCAGAGAGCTGGGCTGGGTTCTGAGGTCTCATCCATCTCTAAATTCTACCATTCAATGAACCGAGCAAATCTCTGGCTTCCGTCGCCCCGAGCTTTAACAGTGACAGGTGCCCCGCCAAAGGGGCAGAGGGTCGCTGGAGCAAAATAGCTGAAGTTTGCAAACCTGAGGTTGGAAAAGCACGTGGGAGCGGGTGAGGGCTCCTCCATTTCCAGCTGGACCCCAGGAAATGAAAAACGGTGAAAAGCTAAAAGTTGCCCAGGCTTGCCTGCACCTCAGAAGAAGTTTGAGTCTCTTGTAGCTTGGGGTCAGTGCTAATTTTAGAACTACTTTTCCCCACACACAAGAAATACAGATTGATTGAAAATGTGGTGCTTTGCATTGACTCCCGTGGGGTATGCTAAGGGGTAATCTGGCCCAGTATCTGAAGTGCTTCAGAGCTGACACAGCACTATGTAAATTCCAAAGTACTTTTACAGCCCTGCTCCAGGAGCTACATTCAGATAGCCCAAGCCCCTGGAAGCTCAGAGAGTTTTGATTCAGCCCATTACTAAGAGAGGAGCTTGCTGGAAATTTCACACCTGGTTGCAGGTTTAGCCTGTAAACCCACAACCCGCTCTGAATTTGAAGGTTTCATGGATCCATAGATTCTCAGGCCAGAAGTGACCATTGTGATCACCTCATCTGACACAGGCCATAGAACATCCCCCAATACTTCCTAGTGCAGATCTATTAGCCAATCCTGATTTAAAGTGTCACCCAGGGAGAACCCACCACGACCCTGGCTGAAGTGTTCCAATGGGTAATTACTTCACCGTTAAAAATGCATGTCTTATTTCCAGTCTAAAAGAAGGCACCAATTTCCAGCTGGTTGGATCCATCCTGGATTCACACCCTTTGCTAATTATTCTTTCTTTACTACTGGGCACAGGGCCAGTTGTTCATTTTGGACATGAAAGGCCTTGGGCACTGCACCACTCATGCACGTGAGATGGGAATACATGATGAGAGGTTTCAGGAAACCATTTCCAGGAAATCCTGTTGCCAGGCTTGGGCGTGGCCATTTTGAGTGTGTAACAAATAGCGTTAGACAGCACTGTCCATCCCAAAGCACTCTGCAATCTATAGCTAGAGACGCCACACTCCACCTACGACTAGGGCGACAGAGGGCAGCAGTGCACTGCACACCAGTGCCAGGAGAGGAATGATGGCAAAGAACGTTTAGCAGGGACGATCTTGTTGTGTGTCTGTGCTGCACCTAGCACAATGGAGTTCTGCTCCATCACAAGGGCTCCGAGTTGTTACAGGAATACACAGTCATTAGCACTACTCTTACAACCCCCTACCCCTAGAATCTTTATGTTCACACAGATTGAACATATTCACTATGTGGTAGGCCTTCCTCCAAAGGCTCATCAATAGAGGATAACAACCTACTATTGCAACCAGCTAACAGAGGGTTATTCCTTAGCTTAAGAGGTAGAGGGCTGTGCTGAAGACTTGTGATGAACCTTGTTTGTAAGATTTCATTTGAGGGACCCACACAATGACCTGCCTTCATTTCTCTACCTCAGCAGAGTTCAGCTGGCTCTAATGGGGTCCAGGGAACTTGCTGCTGAGGTGACTAAGCCATCCCCCTTCAGCTGGGCTATAGCGTTCTGCTTGCTGGCTGCCAATGCGGGGGGGGGGGGGAGGGGGGCTAGAGTTACAACACAATGCTGTACTAGTGGCTGCCTGTTGCTTTAATCAGTAGTTTCTATCACGACTAAATTGATCCACTTTATTAACAATGACATAAACCAGCTTCTGTTTCAGACTCGTTGTTTCCTCTGTTAACACAATCCCTACCTAGTTTTGGGGTGTGGGGGTGTGGGGGGGGAGAGCTAAAGCTCCCAGTTGTCTACATGCAGCTACCTCCTTGCTACAATCATTTACACGTTGGGGTTTCTCTCTCTCTCTCCCTCTCCCTCCCCCCATACCTGCTGATGATCCCCTTCATCTGGATCTCTTTATCTTCCTGCTGTCTGCGGAGCCGCTCCTCGCTTTCCTCCAGCCGGGCCTGGTACTCCAGCATCACTTTCTGGGTCGTCTCCTCCTGGCATTTGAACCGGTTTTCATACTCCTCCAGCTTCTTGTTGGAGATGCGGAGCTTGTCCTGCAGCACCACCAGGTCCTGCTGGTACTGCAGCATTCAAGGAGAAAGCACAAGGCATTTTTATTACTAGGGCTTTTCCCTCACCAAGACTCTCCAGTAACCCAGCCATGCCCGTCTCCTCGCATTAGACTAGCTGCAAACCCGCATTGGAGCAACCCTGAATAGCTGCTCAAAACCTTCTCCTCTTCCGTCTTCTCCTCCAGACTGCACGAGGAGCAGAGCTGCCCTTCTGCTGGGATGACAGGTCACTGGCAGGTGCAGAGAATGGTTGGTTAGCATAGTTTGGAACTTAAAATGAGGGTGCAAGTTAGCTCCACTGAATGGCAAATGTATGCGGGCAGCTGCTCAGGCTGAACACAGGGTTAGACACAGCCAGGTGAGGCAGCACTGGTGGGGTTCTGGCTTCACGCATCTGCTCATCAGGTCTATGTAAATAAAGGGGTGGCACTGCGAATTCTGCACATGCTTACATCTGAATCCAATCAGCTGGCACTCTAGGAAAAGCTGGTTTCCTACGGGTTCGTAGGGCCTGAGTTTAGGGAAAACGTTTGAGAACTGACTGTCCGAAAGTGAAAGCCTTGCAGCCCAAGCAACAGCTCATTAATAGCGATCCCTCATCGGACAAGGGGCAGCAATAGTCTTAGAGTTCACAGCACCTGGAGTCAAAGGACGGTGAAAATGCTCATCAAGAAGCCACTCTTCCAAGTCTAGGGCCAATCCCGGAATGACTCAGGCACCGTTCCCACTAAATCCAGGCAACGCCTACAAGAGCAGAGGCTGGGCTGGGTTTTGGTGGGACGTGCTTAGTTCCGGAATGTGTTACATTTTGTTACCCAGCTGGAAGACCTTTTCAAAAGGAGCTAACCCAGCCACGTGGGGCTGAAGCTATGGTGGGCGTCACCATTACACACAGCTGGACCCCAGGGTGACCGAGAACAGCGGAGACCACGCTGATCACGTGAGTTCTCAGCAAGTAGCACTTTCGATGCTGAATGGCTATTTGCTTTTTTAAAGGAAGTGTTGAAATGTTGCAAAGAAAGGTGCCGGTCTGGCCACTCTGGAGACTGAAGGTCTCAGCACAGGCAGCGCCAATGCAAGATTCATCACACTAGCCTCTGTCAAAGCACCTCTCTGCAGCCAATTCAATCGTTCTCCATGGAGACTGCCCATGTTGCCAGCTGCTGTCAGGGTAGTTTTGTGAGGCTGATACTTGTCCGCTGCGGCCATCAAGCTCAGTGCACATGGACCATCATGCAGCCAGCAAATGATAACCACATTTGGTCACGTACCACGGGAGTTACTCTAATTGGGCCCAAACAGTCCGATGGGATTTGCTCTAATGAACAACCATCAGACGCCCCCACAGGGCACAAACGCCCCATTGTCTAAGGCCAAGCTTTTATTAATGTGCATTTTCCCTAGGAAGCTGGTGCTTCTGAAGCCAAATACATGGCTTAGAGCCAACTCCTACTGAAGTCAATGGGAGTTGGATCAAGGGCTAGCACTGGGCACGGATTGATCAGAGACTGGCAGTTGTACTCTAGTGCAGTTTGACTTTCGCTCAACCCACAGAGTCAGGATTTCAACCCAGGTCTCAATGGGAGAGGAGTTAGTGCAGGAAGCCAAGACTCCACCTATTGTGCTTTTCATGTCAAAGAACCGGGAAAAGTTTTTGATAATATAAAAGTAAATAGCGACAAGACTCACAGAAAATGAATGAACAAGTTCAAAACACGGGGGATTTTTCTTTTAGTCAGTAACATCATATTGAGCTGTCGTGGTAGCTCAGCATCGGTACAACTTACTCAGACAAAGGAAAACTCCAGTGTATAAATGTGCAATAGAACAGAGCTTTTTACTTTGAAAGGAGTGACTTTTCTAAATTGCTTAAACGTGGCCTAGCATGACCAAATTAACAATGATTAATAAGCAAACAGGAACCTGCCATTTTGATGAGCTGTTAAAGGAGTTTGAGACATTGTAAATACCTGCCTAAAGGCAGACGACTTTCAAATCTGAGCTCAGGCAACTTACCGAGTATATTACTAGTTATAATAAATGAAGAGGGCTCTGGTTCCTTTTGATATTGATTTAGTAAACAGTGGCTACAGCGCTGGTAATTTAACCGTTTGTTTTTAAAGCTAAATAAACAGAAGGTACTCGACAATAGCGCTGCAAGTCTCCTGCCCTGCTGAGCATTCAAATGGCAGGCTGCATTTCTTGTACGCCCTCACACAGGACCTCCTGCCGGGGAGCATTACTAGACTGGCAGTTCTCTCGGGGCGGGAGAAGCCTGCCCCATTCACGGATTGGAGATGGCAAGGGCCAGTTCTAGCCGTGTCAATCAGTGCAGCTCCACCGATGACAAATTGTTACAGTAATTTCCATTGGCTGAGAAGCAACTGTAACCGCAACCCACCTGGCTTGGAATTCATGATGCTGAATATTTTTTGTGAGTAGCTAAAGTATTAGGATGATGGCAGGTAGAGATGGGAAAGCCCTATTAGATCCTTCTGCCAGGGCAGAAGACAGCTGTGACAAATCACTGCGGTTTTCCTTTAATCAGGTTTTTACAGAGTCACTGAGACGACACAGTTCACACACACACCACCTGGTGACGGGGGGGAGACAGCAACATCCATACAGTGCACAGAGCGGAGTCACTCACACACGGAGAGATTCAATACCTACCCTACACTCAAAATAGGAGCAGCGTAAGGGAGCTCCAGGGATAGCAGGAGAAGCCTCAGGAGAGCGTGGGAGTCGCTCCTGTCTCTAGAACACTTGTCTCATTGTTGGTTACCATTCAAGTCTTACAGTAATGGGGAGAGAGATTATGCTAATGAAGAACTTTAATGCCAGTGACTGATATGACAACAAAGTAACAAAGGATGCTGCATGGGAATGAGACACCAGGCTCTGGTGGGGTTTGCATTTTGATATTTTGGCAGGGAGCAGGATTTATTGAAATGCTGTCAGACCTCGTAATCCTGACGCGGTCTGTCTTTACCCAGCCGGGTACGTACTGGTGGAGAGCCTGCAGCATCCTGTCCCTCCCTCTACACCTGCGGGTGAAAACATGGCGGAGATCTCTCTGGCAGGGCAGAAGTGGAATTCCCTTGAGAGGTCACCTGTTAAAAGGCGAGCCAAGGTTGCCGGAGAGTGGGTTTGGTGAGCAGCAGTTTAGCGACTACCAGTGGGGAAGTGGCACACGGAGTCTGCTAACTGGGGTGCCGCCTTCTGCCTAGTCATAGTAGTTTCCAGATGTAAATTAGGGCATAAGTCTTCCAAGGCCTGGCTCCTCACTCACGTTATTCTGCTTCCCAGCTCTCCTGCAGCAGCTACACCAGCCATGCCGACCTCCAGTGCGCCATGCTACACCCAGTGAGCACCTGACGTTCCACTGGTGGCCACTCTGGAGACCCCTGCTGGACTCTGTGCTAATTACAAGGATTCTACTCTACTCTTATTTAGCAGTCGAGATTTTTATGGGCGGCTAGCTGGCTGACCTTTTCTCACATCAGAGTCGAGATTTTTATAGGCGGCTAGCTGGGTGACCTTTTCTCACATCAGATGCTTTCTGATCAGGCCCCTCACCACATTTCTTTTCATGTTATAAAGATGCCAAAATGGGGAAAATTCACTAATAAAATGGGTTAAACTCTTAAAAACAACCCGGGCATTTTTTTTCTTTTATTTGAAAGATGTGAGATTTCTCCTTGTGCTTCTCAGTCCCTGCCCGTCGAAGGCTTTGGAATTTCGCTCAAGTTTAACAGATGACAGACAGCCCAGAGAATGGTGCAGCACCAGAGAAATTAGAAAGAGAAAGTCAGCATTACAAAACTAGAAACATCCCTCAGAACAATACATGGAGGACTAGCGCTCAAAGTTTCAGGTGATAATGAATGGCTAATGGGAGGCAGAATTAGCATTTGTGAGCTCCACTACCACAGGGCCTCCTGTGTCTGGCTGCTGGGAGAGCTTCTTGCAAATTCAAAAAGATCCCTCCTCTTCCCCAGTGTACGTGATTTCCACTCTGACTGGCCTTGTTGTGCTGGGCATGAAGGTGCTGGTGTCACCAACGGCTAATCCGTCACAGACAAAAGTGATATAATCCTGGTCAGATATGACATAAGCTCTTTGCTCTTCCCTAGTGACTGATTAAACCTGCCCCATGTCATCTGGTTTGAGTTGTAGTATCTTCCGCAAACTTTGATTGTAACATCTTGATTTCTAGCTCCACTCGCTCACCTCCATCTAGGCCTGCTGGTCTGCTCCCTGCTCCTCTCCTCAGGCTGGGCCGGGAGCTGGGGAACCCAGCCAATACATTACTCTTCCTACAGCTAGGGCCGAGTAGTGCTGAGCAAATAACGGACTTAGTGGCTGAATGAAAAAATCTGGTTCATTTCAAACCAAAACTGAACCTTTTTGGGTGGTTTTTCTTGCCGAAACAAACAAAAAAAAAGCACAACCCAAATTTTTGTTCGAGTCACACGAAACGTTTCGAATGGTGATTCAACTCAGCATTTCATTTGGAGAAGATTGTTGTGAAATAGGAGAGAGACAAGGTGGGGGAGGGAATATCTTTTATTGGACCAACTTTGGGGCGAGGGGGAAGAAACTTTCAAGCTCACACAGAGCTCTTCCTCTTCCTGATCCGAAGTAGAGCTCTGTGTAGCTCCAAAGCATGTGTCTCTCATCCACAGACGTTGGTCTGATAAAAGAGATTCCCTCCCTCACCTGGTCTCTCTCACATCCTGGGACCAACATGCCTCCACCAACGCTGCTTACAACAGTTCTGAAATGAAACCTCCAGAGAGTTTGTTTAGAAAACGTCAAGGCAAAACATTTTGACACTTGATTTTTTTGGGGGGATATTTCTGACATCTCACCTGAAATTCACCAATAGCTCCAGTGCCTGGAAAAAACATGTTTTGTGGTGAATTTACTGAACATATTTTGTGCAACTCGAATGCGGAGCTACTCCCTGGCATGGGGTGCTCAGATTTAACACAGCAGCTAGAGGCCACACCTGCCCTGGGAGCCGGAGGTGCGAGTCCCAGCTCGCGTGGACATTCCCGGGCTCACCGAGCCGCGCACCACCGACGGGAGTGTAGCTGTGGTAGCAGAGGCAGCAGTGAGTGGTGGCACGGGCTCGTTGATCTGAATACATAGCCAGAGGTACCAGGCAGGTTTGTACTCGGGGCAGCCAGCCTGTGCTGCCCCCCGCTGCCGCCCGGGCTACTGTGGCTACACTACTATTTTTAGTGGACTAGCTCGATGAGCACTAGCACGTACGTCCACTCAAGCTGGGAATCACACCCCCAGCTCTGAGCACAAGACCCAGCCTTTGAGACACTCTTGGTCTGGGGAGAGTGACTGGTCTCTGGTCTTGGTTACATGGCATCAACCTGCAGCAACCTCATTCCAGCCAATGGAGTCACGCCAGCCTGATGCTCGTGTAACTGGGATCAGAACCTGGCCCCTATCCTTGGAATGCGCCTCTGGCTTTTGTAAGCCTGAATGCTGGCGCTCATCTTGCCCCACCTCTCCGAGCAAGCCAGGAGGACTGCCCGCTACTTCCTGCCTTGCTCGTTCCGTTCCGTTCTTTAGTTCACGTTGTGAGCCCTGTTCTCTGCAATGGGGGTACACGGGGGAGGAGGGGGGGGCACTGACATGCATTGTTTGGACTGGCTCCACGGTGACCTGGTGCTCTAGCTTCTCATAGTCGTTCCTGTCCCCTCTGTTCCTCTCTTGCCCTGAGAAGAGGGACAGCCCAGGTCGCGGAGCCTGAGCAGGGTCCCCAGCCTTCTGCTCCCGACGTGCGGCAGGGGCACAGTGGGGTTTGTCCCCCCGTGCAGCGCAGTACAATGACGTTTAAGGAAACTCTCTCTAGTCAGACACTCGTTTCAATCCAGTCAGGTTTTACCTTTTCTGCTTGGCTGAGCTCGTCCTTATTCCTGAGCTTATCCCTGTGCTTGGACTCTGGGTCAATGCTTTCATCTTCTAAAAAGTGCATGTTCATATTCAAAAGCCATGCGGCAGTGCGGTCCAGGGCATTGGGGTTCACAGGAGAAGGGGCCTACAATGAAACATACAACCATAACAAAAGAAAAATCGGTAACAAAAATGGATGTGAAGCTAGAGAGCGAGAGAGTTTCCTTCCAACCAAGCCCAAGGCCCCAGGGTTGCTCCGAGGGAAGGAATGGGTCAGAGCACCCGAAGGGGTGTGGGAGAGAGCAAGGACACCGTCTGTTAATGCACCTTGTTTATTAATGTCAGCTTGCCTTTACAGGCCCAATTCTGCCACCCTACAAATCCACTGCCGTTTACTGGGCTTCCAGGGGATCCGCTCAAGATCAACAGGCCCTAGTTCCCGGGCTGTTCTTACTATTGTCTCATGCCATGTGGCCTATCAGGGTTCATGCTGCAGACAGACAGGTTGTGTCTGCTAAGCCTCCAGGTAGAACTGTTGCTTAACTCTTGAGCTCCTCCTGCATCGAGATGCCTCTTCACCTGCTGCAGAGATTTCACTACAGCCACAAACAGATTTACAAAGTGAAATGCGATTTTTGATCACACTGGGGCCCTCCTGAAAAATCTACGGTTCTTCCAAGGCAGGTAGTCACACGAGGGACCCTACAACAACAAACCTGGGGGCTCTGCATTTCTTAATGCTACAATGGCTCAGAGAATGGGATTCTCGGAAGTTTCTATGAATGGGTTTCCTTTCAAGGAGATTGCTCTCTAGCCATCTGCGCTACAGAAGTGCTACTGTAAGCAGTAGTCTACCATCAGCAAGCTAAAAACACTGGCTCACCTTTTAGCCTGGGCAGTGTCTCTGTAAACCCAAAGGCAAACAAAATTGCCGAGAGATTTTCCAACCACATTATAAACTCCAGGAAGTGGATCTCCAGCTAATTTTCCTCCATCACAGCTGACTACAAATTGTAGTCAAGGATTTCTCAGGCTGAACACTGTGGGTTAGAGTGAATGGGCCAAGAGAACCACGCTGAAAACCCAGACATGTCAGGGACTTGTTCACACCTCCAGCCCCCGGGTTCTTTCAGTCAGTCACCGGCAGTGGCAGCGTGGGAGCAGATCCCTCGCTCTGAGCGGGAAAGCCCTGGATGGAGAAGAATTCTTCATAGGAGCATTTGGGGAAAGTCCTCCCAGTTCGAGTCAGATGATTCCATGATGGCTCAGTGGGGAGGGAAACAGTTACACTGAAATTACTACCCCTCCCCCCGCCCCTCCAAGTAAATCTTGCCTTCTGGATCCAGGACTCTGAACCTGAAGTTTCAGACTCAGCCCTGTCATAAATGGGCCCTTAGCTTCTGGCTTGCTGCCTTTTGGGGCACTTCTGGACTGGGAATTGTGACCCTGGCAGGAGCAAAGGATGCAGGTCTCTCAGAAGTGTGTGGCCACGAGGGGTGGGGGAAATTATCCCTATTGTTCCTTTCAGCCCCGTAGAAGATGTTTGGAGTTTTCTAGCCCCGTGAGTGCTGACAAAATGGGGGTCAGCCCTGCATGAATGGTGCCCCCTCCCGCGCTGGGCATCTTCCTCCGAACGTGACAGAAAACCCCGAGCTAAACTGGATCCAACACGTGAAACAAAACGAGGAAAGAGGCGGTTGGAAGCTCTTCCAATCAGCAGCAGCGAGGAACTCGGGAATCCAAATGAAACGGCCACTGAATGGAATGTATTTCCTCTCAAACTACACTAAGCCCCGGTGAGTGGGACCAAGCAGTTTCATTATGATTGACGTGGACTGTTACTACACCACTTGAATACACAGATAAAAAGGCAGGAGCGGCAGTGCAGGGACTCCTGCCCCCTCGAGGAAAACCTCTGGAGGAACAGGGTGTGTGAACTCAAAGTGGCCAGAGCTTTGTGAAGGGTCATCAGGCATCCATTTCACTCAGCAGAAGTACTCTGGAGCAGCCCCCATTCCCGACCAGGCCCCCAAGTGCTTTGCCGACCTCTCTGACTTCCCCACATAATGAGTATCGATCCTTATTATATAAATGCTGCTACACGGCCAGCTTGCTAATGCCTCTGCCTACAGAACAGCCCCGCATCAGATTGACAAAATGGCTTTTAATGGCCAGCGCTGATAAAGGGCTCTGTACAGTCCTTGAAAAAGAAGAGCAATTATGCACACCTGTCCGTCTCTTGCTTTCGAGTGTGCTGGCTTATCGGAGCCGTTACACTGTGTCTGGATTGAGATGTAGTGGACAGTCGTTAGCTAGCCATATTTTTTTTTGGGGTGGTATTTTTAAAAATAAATCTTCATCTGAAGTATCAGAAATCCCCGGTGTGTTTCTTTTCCTATGGGATTAGTTCTTCAAAAAAAATCAGCACTAGGAAAACTATTTCCACGTGCCGGCCAAACGGGATGTGTCCGAGGCATTGGGGACAAAGCAGGTCCTGCTACTTTTATTATCAGGGCTACATGCAGCGAAATTCACCCCCAGGCAAAGATGGGCTTCAACTGGTGCACAGTATTTGTGCACCAGAGGGAATTTCAGTGTTGCTGATTTTGCTGGAATGACTGATCTTTCCCTTTTTCCCACCCCTCCGCTCCCCTCCCCAAAAATGCATCCACGGGAGATTCTAAAAGACAAAACTAACAGGA